GATCATAACGGGTCGAGAGTCTTCCAACTGAGTCCTGCGTTACTGCTGCCCTCCAAGAAACTCTTACTGTTCATCGTCGTCGTCGTTGTCATATAGATCATGGTTCACCCTTATGACCCGTTTGATGAGACCTTTTGATCGGCATCTGTCTCCTGCAATCCGGTAGAGTGTCTTTAGTATTCAGAGGGTGGCTAGTGATTTCCCTAAGGTCGTCAGTCCATCGGAGCTTGAGTCTTCCTTTGTTACGTGTTCCTTCAAAGGTACCTTGAATGATAATTTATCAAGGTTGTCTCCTGATCTTCTGCTAACGTGACCAAACTATTGTAGCTTGTACTTGTCAATCCTGGTAGCAAGTGGCGGTTGATCTCCGATGATGGACATTAGTTGTGTCCATTGGTGTTGTAATCTCTTCATGATATCCCAAGTAGCTTCATCCAACACCACATTTCAAAGGCAGATATTGCCGAGCTTCCACCCTCCTTGACAATCATTGATCCAAGAACATTATATAAACTTGTCCACTTGATCAACTTCTTCTCCATCAACCACCATGCTCTGTTGCATGTAGTTAATTTCCACCAATCATGATCTTGGTCTTTTTCACATTGAGGTAGGGTCCAAATTATTCGCTTGCATCCTTCACTCTTTTTTAAGGAGTTCTAGTAGTTCTTCTGATGTTCTTGTTATAAGTGTTGTCAGTGGCATACTGAGCAAAAACACTTAGAGGGGCAGAAAAACAATCTCTTCATCACCACCACTCATACATGTTACATGCAGGCCCCGCGGAACTTTTTTTAAAGCGAGGTGGGGGGGGGTGAAGTATTTACGACCAGGAAGAGAGGAGCGCAAATTGGCGTGGTGTTCAAGGGGCACAGCCCCCGGAAGCTCAAGGGTTTCAGGCATTTATTAACTGTAAGATGAACATATTTTGATACCTCATTTCACCTCGGGTCACTTTCTTTCTTTCTTTCTAGTTCTCTTTAACATACTTTATACAAAAAGTGAGGGGGCTCGAGTCCCCTGAGCCCCGCTGTTCTGCGGAACCTGACATGTAGGCTTTTAAATAAGCATATCTTTTGCTTGACTGTGAATTTAGGAGTTGTCATTTTCCAACATACGCTTAACAAATAATAATTTACTAAAAAGTGAGAAAAAACCCAGGAAAATCATTTAATTTAGCAACATTTGTAAATCACTGGTATCGAATATATAGAAAAAACAGTTTGAATTTTGTTTGGGGGTTCAACTGTCCCCCCCCCCCCCCAAACCTTCCCCATCAATACGCCAGAGAGTGTTGTATTGTCGGCGTATCTTAGGTTGGTGATCGTTCGTCCACCAACAGAAACTTGACCATAAAATGCCTTTCTCATGATGAATTCAGCATAGATGTTGAAAAGTTATGGTGATAGGATGCAGTCTTGACGGACAACTTGACCAATAGTGAACCTTTCGGTGTAGCCATTCTCTGTTCTTACTGTTGCTTCATGGTATTGGTAGAGCGACTGGATCAGTTGAATTATATGTGCTGGAAAGCCCATCTAGCTCATAATAGGCGTTTATGTTGTACGCAGTCAAAAGCTTTGGAAAGATCAATAAAGCTAGGGAGAGAAGTTGTTGAAACGTGTCTCTAGTGTTGCTAACTTCACTATCCTTTCATGACAACAAACTACAGTTGATCGACATCATAATTATATGCGCGAGTCTGCAGGATGATTGGGTGCTCAGAAATAGGCAAAAGCACAAGCAGGCCTTTACCGTCAAGATGAGGTTCCTGTTGAAGTGATTCCAGGCAGTGATGTCATGCCAAGGAAAGGTCTGTCCACAACATAGTTATGATGAAGCAGGCAACATCAATGTGCAGCAAGCGATTTGAATTGATGCTAATGAGAAGAAGTATGTTAGGGTCCTAGTGGATTACACAGACGTCTACGTACTACTTTTGCATCATTATCTACATGACGGACTTATAAAACGCCAATGACCATGGAGACGCCCTTCACAAATCGAACTGTTATTGATGCTCCTGCCAATGTAGACAAGTTAGGAGATATCATTTCATCGATGTTGGCAGGACATGCGTTGACGGGATGCAGAAGATTCGACTCCCTTAGGACTCAGTTGGCAATGTTGATGCAGCATGGTCATATGTCATCCCTCAACCTACTCAATGCTTTGCTTCATGTTATGGACAGTCAACAACCAACTGAATGTCAGAGGCTCGTATCAACGTGTGGCTATCAAGGGTCCGAAGACTAGGAGCTCCAAATACCCCCAAACCTTGCCTCACTACCTCAAACTACTAAAGCGTTTGTAGAAAAAGTTAAGAGAGCTCATTTGCAAACATGCGTGTGGAAGCACGCATTACAGTCACGACCTCACATTGCAGAATTAAGTGTTAGATGACACCCTCTTCCGCATAGAATATGTTAGTGTTCCCAACACTTTAGAGGGCTTTTAAACAAATTTCAAGATTTTGAAGCAAACTTATAAACGGGTATAGTCCTGTATCGTATTGGTAGTTCGAAATTTTTAGGTTAATTTAAAATAATCTAGTACCTTTGAATACAAATCTAGTTTCTTAACGCTGTCACTGAAAATGGGCATTTATCACCATATGCCACCTCATATCTATGGGACAGAGAGCATAAAATTCAACCGTGTTTTCTTCGAGTATCAAATTACAAAATAAAAATAAATGTGCAGCACAATTTTTACTCACTGTATCCAGTGCATCTGACTCATGACATATGATAATCTCATGTTAGAAATTGGTATTTGGCCATCATTTTGAACTATGCAAGTTAATGTGTCTATAGAGGGCGCCATTCCGAATTATGCAAATTTGCATATCATTTGTGATCATAGAGCATCGCAATTTTTATTTAGTGATGATTCTATAAAAAAAATCAAAATATTTGACTGCCATTTAATGTAGTAAAATGCTGTTAAAACTTTTTATATCATTAATTTTGGTTAAAAAGGGGATTTTGTATGACGTCACATATCTCAAATTGCTCAATGCTGACAGAGTGTCAGCAATCGAATTCTTCAAATTGATGGTCTAAGGAACTATAATCCGAAGAAAAAAAAACTATAGACCCTAAAACAAGGTATACCGAGATGGCTGCCGGACTAATACGCCAGTGGTGTAGTACAGTGCAGTCCAGCTTGGCGCGGCCACTAGATAGTTGGCAGTTGCGCGGCCGGGAGCATGCAGGGAAAAAATATAAAGGGAGAAATAAATTTTGCTTCCCTGCTTCAGTATGGGGCCTGCGCACGAGATATATACGTGACTCGAGTCGCAGTAAGCAGTCTTATATACCACATCCCGCATGTCAATGCTAAATATTATGTTAACAGCATATGCCTACCAAAATGTACTTGCATGTGAATCTGTGGCACTGTGCGCATACCCATTACTAACTTCACGAGGAACCATTGCGTCCTTCAGCCTTTTCACACACAGCTAAAATTCATCTAGAGATAATTAGAATCACTCAACAGTTTTAAACATGTTTATAGACAAAATTTCCCAGTGTGAACATCGTTTATACGATGTTGGGATAGATACGAAGTCGCGATCCATACGCCCCTAAAAGCAGGCTGCAGATACGAAGTTCGTATCTAGAGAGCTTGACATTTTGTGTGTGAAAGGAAATACGTGTTTAAACGTTTTTAAACTGGATGGAGCGTGCGCTTTGATTGATATGACATGACCTTCAATGCGCAATGGCACTACTGCGCATTTTACGAGCAGTAGTTAATCACGAAACTATTAACGATCGCAACGAAATTTCTGTGTGTGAAAGGCTCGTGATTAGTTTAAACACGTTCGAAACACGTTTATACTAATCATGTTTATAGAATTTTAGCTGTGTGTGAAAAGGCTGATAGTCTTGCTTAATACGCGCATGTAGAGCTTTGCCCAGTATTAAATTAAAGACGACTCAGGATCATAGCAAGATGTAACGTCCCCTTGAGCCTACAGAAACAACTATGTCTCTCATAGCAGTCAATATTATATACCTTATATTTTACTATATTATATACCTTACTTTAAGAATCTTTCCTAATCCTGTCATCTGATTGGATGAAGGTGAAGTCGTGTTTTTAACTATGCCGCAAAAAAATACGAGCACAGTTCTGTTTTCCCTGTTCTACTGGAGCACTGTTTGATGATAATTGTGTAAATGTGAGAACCCCATGATTGGTATATAAGCTAGTCGCAAACTGTACTCTTTGGCTCTTTTACGGTATATTAAAGATATATTGACTGCTTTAATATTCGAGGCATAGTTGTTTCGATAGGCTCTTGGGGATGTTATATCCTGATATGTTCCTTGAGCCTATAGAAGCAACTGTTATTATATTTTTGATCAATGAAATCCTGTTAAGTTATTGGTCAACATGGTATCACGTGACCAAACATAACATTGCTATGATTTAACCGTGACGTCATCCATGGTATAGTGCACTATACGATAGCACTGTACCATGGATGACGTCATATATATACGATCGATCAAGATCAATGTGCTATCGGTCGCGGTCGCGCGTCTGCGCTGCTCTCACTTCACTCTTCACTACTTCAGTGACAGTAAACATTATTATTATCATTATCATTTTTTGAAGGTTGGTTTGAAAAATATAAAACAAATATATCATGCACTATTTCAAGCCACTTGTGAAATAATGGATTCCTCGGCGACAGAAATACCACCAGTTTCTTCGGGACTACGCCCCTCAGAAAATAGTGCTATTCCTGCCACCTTGATCCATAATTTTAACTAGAGTCTCTTAGTGCATGGTATATTTGTTTATTTTCATAGAAGTCAATATATCTATACTATTACTGCCGAGCCTTTAATGGTGAATTTCTATCCTGCAGTTTTGACCAATCATAGGCCTTAAATGTTCATGTGCGGTATATAAAATGATTTATTTCATTCAGAGTAATTACTACCCCCCCCCCCTAGAACTTAAAGAAAAAGTATAATTACCAATGCCTTCACACGTGACTCCTGCATCTTGACGATGCTCACAGTTGTGAGATAGGTAACCGTTGTGTTGACAGAAGGCGATGTTTGACTCAGATCCCGTGCATTGCACATTATCCAGGATAATTTCCCCTGTGCCTTCGCGAAAGGTTGCGTTGGTGTAATAAGCAGAAGCACGTGGATATCCCAATGTATGACAAACGACGTGGGCGTCATCTAAATCCCAGTCATCGCCGCACACTGTACCGTATGCTCCTTGGTAGTAAACCTCAACTGTTCCTTCCAATGATCCACTTCTTCCACCACGCACACGGGTCCTCAGAGGTTCTGTTAATATTAAGCAATATTTATTGACATTAGAATGTGCATCAAATGATACCTCTTTAAATACCCCAGTCAAATAAACGGGGACCGAACAAGAAATTACAATGCCTCAAAAGGCCCAGAATCGGTTGGTTTGGTGTTGGTTTGGTATCGTTTTGGCTGTTTGACTGGATAGTATCCATTAAGCTAACTGTCCAGCTCGTATAGTCACTTAAGCATTATCAAGCTTATACGTCAAAGGCAGTATACATTCGGAATTAAGAAGAATGATATTCATTAAAAAGTCATTGCATTTTGCATGACTTGTCCTGTAATTCGCTTAAGTTGTTACCGGCATACCCTTCCCAGCATGCCTAGCGACACTAGCGACAACATAGGTGTGCATCAGCTACGCATTATTCAACCAGTCGTAGGCGTGTTTCTAAATATAGCCTCTAACGTAACCATAACCAACGCAGGAACGAGCTTCCCTGCATAATGGGCATAGGCCTATTATCGGTACCATTTAAATAATCTTAACAATAGTATTTTCCATGTCAAGCAATGTTCATAGATCTTCGTAGCTTTTGAAATAAGGTGTTTTTTGAAAGAAAAAATACTAAATAATGTTTCTTACTCAAAATTCAGATGTTTATTGATCCCAATTCCATTAAAATTGGTTTCAAAATGAAGATGATTGAAATTTCTTTCATAATTATCAAATTCATGGTGATTCAGAACATTATTTACAAATACTTTTTTCGTCAAAAGGGCCACTTTTGTTGTTACGCCCCCTCCGATTTAAAGGGTGGCCGCTACAACAAAAAACATCTCTGAAATATTGCATATCTTTCGAGAAAAGAAGGTGTGTTTAAATTTATATATTAATCAATAATAATAATAATCTTTTAAAGTCCACTCCAAATTTTATTAAGTTAAACCCGTAAATAGAAATTCTTTTTGCCCAATTGATCGTGAGCCTGGCAGCCACTGAGCAGCGCCAGATCGACGTTGCTCTATACCCTTATTTCCCCCTTATTGTTGAACGTCAAACAAGGTAGCAGCAACTCTCGGTCTTTTAACGTCTTTTGGTATGGCGCGGCCGGGGTTCGAACCCACGACCTCTCGGTTGTGAGGCGGACGCTCTACTGACTGAGCCAAATCACCGGTATAAAGCCAACACACCGGTTTGTGTCCTAGTGTCAGGTAAACGCCTCTTTTCTTACTTTGGCTCTCTACTTGCATCAATCAACCTGGTGTTTTTTGTCATTTTCAAATGACTCATTGAGGGTGAATAAGAAATTTTATCGAACGAAGGGCGATATAAATGGTTTACATTCATCAGTGACATCACGAGTTCGCGGCGGCTTCTCTTCTGTGATGACCCTTAGCGGCATCTTGATAGAAAACAATAACATGCCGACACCCTTTGAGTCAGCCGCGCGGCTTCTTTCATGTACGCGTATCTATAAAAGGAATGTGCGCAATGTATGTTTCGAATTTATATATGGAATTATTTTAGCCGGGATATATTGGTTCTCACGGTGTTGGCGTGAGAATCCTCATTCACCTGGCAGATTTTTTAGAGGATGGTCATAGACATTGTTCGGTGGCAAATTAATTTATTGGACTTTATTGAGGAAACATTGTAGTCGGCAACTATTATACTTCGATTCCACATCGGATTTACAGAAGGGAACATTTTAATACAACTTGGTTCTTCAGAGTAATTATATACGGCGACGGGATTTTGAATTGTGTACATTTGGAGTTCATAACTGGTTAACTTTATATTAGCTACATAACTCTGTTAATTGTATCATCGCGTCGGGAATTATAATGCCGAAGGCTAAGCAGCAATCCAGGTGGACAACTGTTGACCGAACTGGGTCCTCACGTCCACGGAGAACTGCAACTGCAACAGCTCCGCCTTCCCAGCCCGTATCAGAGCCTCTCGTCCAGGCACCGCAGCCGAACCCCGGAGTGGAGCAGCGGGGACCGGGTCCATCCGCAAGTGAGTACGATTCTAGGCCGTTGGTTTGCGCGGGTATTGATACATTAAACTCAATTGGAGGCCCTGAGCAGGCGCAGCAGGTGGGGCTTATGATCAATGCCCCTCCCTTGTTGGCAACTCCTCGGGAGGTGCTGGGGTCAGCTGTTCCTCGCGCATTGCGGGATAGAATCTGGAAAGGCGAGTTTGTTGATTTAGGGGCCTTGCTAAAAAATGTCCCCGTTCCAGACGGCAGCGCACCCACGGTTATTGCCCTGTCGGGGTCGACATTGCAGGTACAACCGCAGCGAGGGGTGCCGCGAATAACCTCAATAGAGCAATGGACCAGCGCATTTTTGGTATTTGCGTCTATATATACCGAGAAGCATATAGTTCGGGCCTTAGAGATGTTTAAGTATATGGACACCGTCCGGACGGCGGCTAGATTTGGCGGCTACGGCTGGCACACATACGATGCGCAGTTTAGGCTGAGGCAAGCAAGAGAACCCACTAGATCATGGGCTGTCATTGATAGTGAATTGTGGCTTATGACTGCCACAGCACCATGCACGCATTCAACCCCCGCCTACTACGGTGATGCAATTCGTGAAAGCGACCCCTTCGGCCAGACAAATTAATAGTGTTTGTCCTTTTTGGATCTGCCAGTGGCACGATTTACTCACATTCTTTCAGAAAAGGCGCGGCCACATTAGCCGCTATGACCGGTTTGACGCAGGGGAAATTGAGAACACGGGGCGCTGGTCCTCGGACGCGCATAAGAGATATGTTCGTATTAATATGCTACCTGTTGCATAATTCATGATGTATTGTACCATATTACTTCTTTAATCATTTGAGTTTAAGGAAGCGTGTTAAGAAAAATTATCAGCTATTTGGGTTGATCTATATGTTTAAATAGTATTTATAATTGACTCATGTTTATGCATGAGGCAGTTGAAGATCAATATTGTTACATTTCATTGGTGATTTTGAAACGAGTTATCAACAACAATGAGCTGCCGGAAGTTTTCCTTTTTTCTTTTTCATTCCTGCTGTAGGTTGCCAGTCTCGTACAATCCTGCTCATAGGCGATTCCACGATCCACTGGTTAGCCGCCTTCGCGCATCGTAAGGGAAAACAAGGTTTGGGGTCGGCAGCCAACGTCGTTTGGAGAGGAAGGAGGGGCCTTAAGCTAGGTCAACTAAGTGGACATGTCCAACGGGTGCTGCCAGGTTCCTCTCCGTCGCACATCGTTCTGCACGTGGGGACGAACGACGTCGGGCAAGCTAAAAAAGACGAATTGTTCTTGCTTTTGGATACAACACTCGGACAATTGCACGAACATTTCCCCAATGCCCGCATCATTTGGTCGGATATTTTGCCTCGCAGGACCTACAGCGGCTTCAGTAAAGACGAGCAGCCCAAAATTGATCGGACGCGGCGAGCTCTAAACAAGCACGCCAGGCGCATATGCCGCACGATCGGGGGCAGTGCTTTGACTCACCTGGGCATCAGGCACGAGCGGCGCGAGCTGTTTAGGAATGATGGTATTCATCTCTCCGAGACCGGAAATAATATGTTTCTTCATAGCCTTATTAAGGGGTTGGAAAACATGGCATAGATTTTCGTGGAGTTTTTTGTTATTCAAGTCATAATGAAACGTAGTAATCACGTTTGTTTCGGGTAATTGGTCTATTTTTATTTAGCTCAAGCTTTGTAATTACAAAACTCGTACGTTATAGCAAAAGAGACTTATCAGGCTAGTGGTTTTTATTAAGATGTTAAGTTGATTTATTTAACGTATAGATATATATATATATATACAGTATATGTTTCCCCATTTTGATGTTTAAAGGTAGTTATTAGGTTTCGGGTAATTGGTTTATTTAGCTCGAGCTTTAAAAGCATAAAACTTTTATGTAACGCGAAAGAGACTTATTAGGCTAATGGTTACGATTAACATGTTAAGTTTATTACATATACCCGGATTTTGATGCTGTGTATTTCAGTTAATGAAAATTACAAAGCTTTCTCATGAGCTTGGTCACAGTTGGGACCATGAACGCGTTTTTCATTGAAGACTGCTTTTGGTTTAAGATGAAAGGTAGTTATCTCGTTATTTTGATTAATTGGTTGATTTAGCTTAAGCTTTGAAATTTCAAAACGTGGGTATTGAAAAGATATGGTAATTGGTTGAATGCATTATGTTCAAGTTCAAGTTCGCGTACTTTGTACATATATATATATATATATAGCCGTTTTGTGGCTTTGTTTTATTTACCGATTATTGCAGAGTGTTTTCATGAGCTTAGTCACAGTCGTGGCCATAAATGTGCTTTTAACTTATAGTTTTTGGTTGGAAACGAAAGGTACATGTAGTTATCACGTTATTTTGGCTAATTGGTTGGATTCAATATGTTCACGTTCAAGTTTGTGTACTTAGTTCATATATATATATAGCCGTTCGTGGCTTTGTTTTACTATACTTACTGTTATCGCGGAGTGCTTTCATGAGCATAGTCACAGTCGAGGTCATTAAGGTGTTTAATTTATTGTTTTTGGTTGAAAACGAAAGGTGGTTATCACGTTATTTTGGTTAGTTGGTTGATTTAGCTCAAGCTTCGAAATCGCACAACGTTGGTATTGAAATGAAATTAAGGTAATTGGTTGAATTCAATAGGTTCAAGTTCGTGTTCGCGTTTAAAACGCGTAGTGAAACGAAAGTAACCCATTAGAATTTAGGGTGAAATTACTATGTCAGTTTATATGCGTACATTACGCGATAAAAATATATACGCTCAGTGGCGGCGGGCGGTGCCCGTGTGGCGGAAATTGGCATTTTTGCCTCTTCGCATATATATATGTGTATGTGTATATATGTTAATATATACATATAAAGGTTATTATGTGTATTACACACTGCTGCAGAATACCCCATGGGAAGGTTGTGTTTTGGAGAATATGATTTGGATTATTTTAATTGGCCATTGTATCTTGCAGAGCTCAATATTTATTGGTTTCCGGTAAGGGCCCCGATGATAACAGGTATCCTGTTTATTTATAACATGTACCCGCCTGTAAAGTAGGCATCTGTTCGCCTGTTTAATGCATTGGAACCGTGTGTCTTCTTTGTATGCAGAGGGGTGTTATACGTACAGCCCACTTTGTGGTACTCACAGTTAAATTCCATATGAGAAGGTAAACTCTGTTCGCCCTCTTTAATGAGGAAACAGTGTCGCCTTTTTACGGGCTGTGGGGGGTTGTACACAAGTTCTCGTCTGTTGACGGCCCTGATGCAGAGAGTACTTTGGATTGGACATGCCGGCTCCATCCAGTTTTTCAGAGCTCAATATTTATGGTTTTCCGGTAAGGGCCCCGATGATAACAGGTATCCTGTTTATTTATAACATGTACCCGCCTGTAAAGTAGGCATCTGTTCGCCTGTTTAATGCAGTGGAACCGTGTGTCTTCTTTGTATGCAGAGGGGTGTTATACGTACAGCCCACT